GCACCAGCAACCTGTCTCCACCACGTGCACAGCCAGCTCACAGCAGCACCACCAGCACCAGCACTGGCACCCGGCACCAGCAACCTGTCTCCACCACGTGCCCAGCCAGCTCACAGCACCAGCACCGGCACCCGGCACCCAGCACCAGCACCGGCACCGGCACTCAGCAGCACCAGCAACCTGTCTCGAAAGCGCGCACGTGCAACTCATTGTTATTTGAAGTAAGAACCCCATAGCTTCGCTCTCTGGGGAACAAAACAAATCGATCTAATTGACATGACTTAAAATGCGGCTGCCTCCACATCGCCCTTGGGTATGGGTCAACGCCCAGGTGGATGATTGAATGTATCCACTGAAACCCTTTCAGAAATTAAAGTATTCCATTGGTGCGATAGTGTTATGTGCCATGTATCCATGACAATATGACATCCAAAAACCTATGCACATCATCAACGGAATGGATAAGAAATGCCCACCGCTCAGATTTGTGTGGCGCGTAGAGACTCATGTTGTGTCACGCGCATACGGAATCTGTGTCGTTGAAGAGTCTTGTTGCAAATGAGGAGGGCGTACCCGCACCTTAACAAGATGCAGCCAGCCAATGCGCATTGCTGTCAAACACCTTGTAATTATCCCTCTGTCTCTCCCCCTCTCCCAACATTGGGCCACACGGTCAGGGATGCCGAAGCGGCACGGTCGCAACGAAAAACGAAGAAGCCAGCCGACCATGACACTCCAATTCGTGAAAAGGAATGTGGGCAGATTTGCCGTTGAACCCACAACCACAAATTCTGAACACGCAAAACACCACAACAACCCCCCTCCCAAAAAAAACAGCACCGTCTTGGGTTCTAATACCAGCACCGTCTTGGGTTCTGTGATGTTCCTTTGGTTGCAAACCACCAACATGTCTCACCAACCTTCGGATTCCCCACATCTGATCCACTCCTCACCTCTCCCGTCGCTGGCGTCCCCGACCCCCTCACGCCGCAACGGCGGCAAGGCAGCGGCCCAGTCGCCCTGGGACCTGGGGGCCGATGGGCTCCGCACGTGCGGCTTCTCTTGCAGGAACTCTTGAAATCATTTCCCAACTACCATATTACCATATATAGATCCTGCGAGGCCATCAATACAAGGAGTTAAACAAAAAGGTGGATGTGTGGAGGAAGATCTTGGAAATCCATCCGGACCCAACTTGAAGGATGTTCGCAAAGCCTTTGATGTCTGGTGAACGGAGTTTTTTTCCGACGGAGTAGTAGACCTGCTTCGCTCCGGTTCTTCGGGTTGAATCGTCCCATTCTTGGGGCTTTGTCCGGATCCAAAAGTTGGCTAACAAAAAGAACTCAGGAGTTCGGGTCACCTCTCGTAAGAACATTCACAGGGTATGCAGGTCCATTGACTTCGATGGTTCGCTTTCTTCAAGTCCAGCGTAATGATTCCAGCGTCACGTGGCGTCCCCAAACCCTCGTCACCCTCGATGTCTTGTGCAGACATCTTGCACTCATTCAAGCTCCATCTCGGACCGAAAGGTGGATCAAAAAACTGGAAGAGCCCTTTGAAGATCGGGTGAGAAGGACCCTTCAACTCATTTTTTCCAAAAAGATCCAAAAAGCGGATCGTCCGATCGACCGATCGGGCGGTCGATCGGCTGATCGACCGGCCCGGTGCTTGAAGCAGGGTGCCGCAAGGCATTGGAAAGGTATGCGAAGGTGCCTCAGCGTGCGATCACGGGACGGTTTACACACGTGACACATGCCCAAACCGATGGTGTTGTGTTTTGCCTGGAGTGTTTGGGATTGCTTGTCATGAATTCTTTCCTGCAAGTGCAAGACCTAACTTCTAACATTCCTTAACACTACCCCTAGTTTCCCAGGTCATGGAAGGGGGTCCGGTTCCCCCAAATCCACTCCTCTGTTGCAGGACGGTGGCGGGGTGCAACCACGGAGATAAAAGGCAAGTGAAAACCTTACTATTTCTTACTATAATCTATCAATCTACAATATCTATATCCTCATCCGCGGCCCAGGGTTGGATCTCTGCTTGGAAGAACGTGTTGAGATCCAACCAGAAGTGTAGGCAAAAATAGGGCAAATCATTTGTTTGGAGGAGCTTTGTGATGACTCCCCCTCTCAACGTTGGTTTGTTTGAGAGTGAATATTCTTGTGACTTGAGACATCCAAATTCAACTTCTTACCCGTCTGAGCCGTCATCATCATCATCATGGATAGCTTTTGCTCCAACCTGGTCCTTCAGCATGTGCAGATTTGGAGAAATGCGTCCATTTCGGTCTTCATGTTGGGCTGTTTTGCTCGAGAGCGCTCGGCTCAAGTGGATGGAATCTAATCGGGATATCGAACTGATGGAACACAAAATCTCGAATCTAGATTGTGTTTGTTTGTTTAAGGGTATCCCGGTCATTCTTCACAACTTCGACATGGAGATCTCACAGGCATCTTTGGAGAGGCCATGTTTGGCAGCACAGTACTCTGTTTGCGAAAGGATGACCTGCTGAACCCCAAAAAACCTTTCAAGAGAAACTGCTTGCATTCGTGTTAAATACGCGAACTGCCAAGTCGGACTGTTCAGAGTCGCGGCCGCGGCAGCGGCTCTGATACCACGTGGGCATCCTAAACAGGCAGTGGGCGCGCCAGCGCCTGCGCGCTCCTGACCGGTCTCCCTGAGGCAAACTTCTTCAACAACGAAACCGCAAACCTCTCCGCTTCAACCGGGTAGCAAATCCTAACCGACTCGCAACAAGCACTAAAACCAATCGAACCAAGATCAACCCATCCAGTCTCAGGTTTGAGGTCAAGGGCACTGCAAAGCTGCCAAAAAGCTTTCCTGAACACTCGTCGTTCAGCAGCTAAAGTGTGCTGTATCCATCGATTTGGCGGTTGGTCTGACGCACTAGAAACCAAATCACAACCAATGAATTGCCTAAAGACAACAGAAAGCTCCACAAAAGTGACCAAACACCATCGATTGCTGACCCCTTCTAGTCCTATTAGGAAGTCCAGAAGTCGTGACACAAACTCTGGTCGTATCAGAGGGTCTCCCGGTAGCTGCGCAAACCAGTTCAAATGCAATCCCTCCGAGTGAGCCTCGAAAGTCTCTGTACACTCGAGATCACGGACCGACCTATCAAAATAACAAAAATCCAAAGGATCCTCAACCGAATTCTCTAACCCTTGCTGCGGCTCAGGTCGGCTCTCAACATCTCGTTTCGCGACTGCAAGGTGGAGTGCAGACATCTTTCTGAAACTAGCATCATCTTGTGTCCATCTGTCTCTGTACCTGGCATACAGCGTGGCAAACCAGCTAGGTCGGGATGCATTGGCAAATTTTGCCGCAATGTCCGCCTTGGAGTTGTTGGTTCGGCACCAATCCAGGAAAGGGCTGTCACATTCCTCCTCCGACATGTGGCCAGGGACTTTGTGTATTCGGAACAAGCCGGCGGCATGATCTAGTTCATCTGCGATTTGTTGCCAAATGTCAGCATTATCGCCATGTTCAAAGCTGCCGTCTCCTGCCTGAATACAACGAAAAGTCTCAACTGTGTTTTGACTGTCCGACCAGATGTGCGTCACGTCCTGCTCATTGGCTGCCCATCTGACAGTCATGAGGACCGCGTAGGCCTCTGCTCTGGGGACCGACTGCACCAAGCCAGGGAGGCCTCCGGCCGCAATGATCTCGCCCGAGCTTTCATGAACGAGAGACCAAGCAGCCAGAGCCAGGTCCGCATTCCTCTGCTCAATGCCTGATCCGTCAGTGAAGACGTGTCTGTTCTGCTCAAGAGGAGGCTCAAAACGAAAAGATGATCCGGTCAAGTGCAATGCTTCAAGCGCCTTCCAAAACAAGATTTTGTAAGGATTACGACCAACCAAGCCATGCAGGGCTAAATGAGCATCACAACTCCACCAGAAATCAGGATCGATCTGCAAATCCTCTCTTAGGTCGCTGTAGTGAACACACTCAAAATATCGGTGTTCCCTGGAGTCTGGGCATCCACAATGCGGACAAGCCGATCCACCCGATGCAAAATTGGCAATGCAATCACGTGTGTAGTGTGTTCCGTCTCTGACCTTGTGCAGAAGGTCCGTTTCGAAGCTTGAGAGCTGACCATCCAGAAGATCAGAATGCTGCGCCTCGTAGCCTTTCAAATCGGACAATGAGCTCCTTTCAGCAACCTTGGTAGAGACAGTTTGCCTCCAGAAATACAGCGCTAGCCTCCGGAGCCCGGTCTGCGGGATATCGAGAATGCTAACCTCGAGTCCTCCTGGCAGTTGCAGCCGTAGATCATGTGTGATGTCCCAGCCTAGGTCTCTGCAGAGTCCTTTCAACTTTGAAAACGGCCCTTGAGTCCTCCTGGTTGAGGCCCCAAAGCAGAAAGTTTGCCAAGCGTGACGTATCTCATAACTGCGAGAGCATTGCCGGCAAAACATCCACAGACACCTCCAAAGCTGATAGAAGAAAGGATCAAGCCTATCCGCATGAATGAGTCCAACACGCACCCAAGCTGATGATCCAGGAAGGTCCCAACAACATGCGCGCATAACTCCGGATCGAAGCATTGCAAAGTGCTGTGCTCCCACAATGACTGCCTCACAGCCGTGGAGCCCTTTCGGCCAAATGGCTCCTACTATGCATTTGTGCTTGTCCCAAAGGCATAGCCCTGATCTGCGAAGTGCTGCAAAACAAGGCTTACTGCCTGCGATGCGATCAGCTAAGACATGGATGAAGTGCTTCGAGCAGTAGGTCACCTGTCCGCCCAAATCTCTTGCCTCAAGGATTGTTCGCACTCCAAAGGCCTCAAGACCTTGTCGGCCTTTCCGGTCTGTAGCCCAACCGTAGAGCTTGGCCTCATCCAGCTGTAGGCTGACACTTTCGCAGAAAGATCTCATGGCTGCCAAACCTTGCACTGCTTCAAGTGGGCCTGAGCCAGTGACCTCCAAATTGTCGACGAACGACAGTGCCCTAGCTGATGGTGCATAGTGTGTCTGCCAACAATGCCATGCAATGTCGAGTGCCGTCATTGCCGCACACGAGAGGGGGCATCCTTCAGGATATCCACACGTGCTTGCTGCAACTGGTCCAACTGATTGTCGGATCACGAAGCTCCTCTGAAGGCCATCTAGAAAGCGGCTCCAGCAATGTGTGAAGAAAGATGGAATCCCGAGGCACTGGAGCAACGGCCACAGTGGTTGGCGCGGGATGCAGTTGTAACACTTGACAATGTCAGCAACAATTCCACATTTGCTTCCTCCACTGGCAATGGAGGCCTCAATGCCGCTCTGAATCCAGAACCAAATGTCCGCAGGCATGCAGTCCTGAGTGAACCCGCATTGGTGCGGTGCACGCATCTTTGACAAATGCGTCAAAAGCTGATTTGTTCTTGCACTAGCCCAGCACCTGTATGCAATGCTCAGCAATGTAATGGGTCTATAGTCGTTGACTGTCTCAGCCCCGGCATGCTTCTCGAGGCAGACAACCAATGCCTTCAGCCATTGTGATGGCCATAGGGATCCACCCTCAATTTTGCTGAAGATGATGAGGAGTTCCTCAGTCACAACCCGTGGCATAGACAGGATATCTTCTCTCGACAGCCCGTCCGGGCCTCGCGCAGCCTTGAGTTTGAATGTCTTGGCTGAAGCTACCCATTGTTCATAGGAAACCGGTTGGAGATGAAGCTCCAGCCTTGGTAGAAAGCGAGCAGCAAAGGAGCATATGCGCTGCCAATGATCCTGTGGCACCCCAGCATGTTGGCCCCATCTGCCATTCCATAGGGCCACAAGTCTGTCCTGGATCTGGGAGATCTCGTCCACGAGAATCTTGCAACTCAGGATCTGTCCATCACACAGAACCAAGTCACTATCAACCTCATACACCCGGTCATCGACCTGACGGACAACTGCAGGGATTTTGTTCAGGGTCCATCGCAGAATTCCCTCTGTCGGGAAAGCAGTCTCAACTCGCACGTATTGACAACTGGCATCACAAACCTCAATGCGCTGGTCAAAGGTGTCAACCAAAGTCTCAAGCTGCTCTCTGGGATTTGGACGAACCACACGAAAACACGAATCCTGCTTCTCTTGCCATCTGGCCTTGATCACTCTCTGACGGCGGGAACTGTGCCAGGAAGCAAAGCGATCATAGTTTTGTTTGAAGTCAGCAACAATGAGTTCAAGGGACTGTGCATCTGGCACCCTTCTGTCAAGAGTCTCGGGGGCTCCTTGAAGTTGTAGCGGCCTTCGCATCCACCAAAGATCAAATCTGTGTTGAAATCCTTTGGCTTGCAGAACTCTTTGCCAGACCAGCGATCTCTCCTGGGCAGCCTCTTCGGACTGTGAATTCTTTCGAGCATTCCTCAAGAGTGATTCAAGTCGCCGAAGTTGTTGAAACCACAGCTGGCATGCACGGCCGAGAAAAGAGTCATGTACTTGAAAATCACCCTCTCGTGAGTGTTTTGGAACCTGCACTGCACTATTCCTCAATCGGGGTCCCCGAACCTGACAACGCCCCAAGCAACTTGAGGGGCAATCTTCCGTGTTGGTGACCGATTCTTTCACTGCTCGCTCAAACTTCTTCGCCCAGGCTCTCAAGGCGTCCGATGGATCCGTCTCCAGGTCCAGACCAGGGAGGGCATCATATTTGTCTGCTACTAGCTTTTTGTCAACACTGTGCCATGGAAGTCCCTGTGGTTGTTGCCAAAACCA